TCAGCAGAGAAGTACAAAATAAGCTAGAACACCTTGTTAAAGAAAGAAAGTGAAAAGGACTTAAATAATTGTGGGGCCATGCCTAAAGGACATAGAAACCATCTTGAAGGACTTCAGTTGGCTATCTGTAAGGCAAATTGAGTAACAAATAACCATAGTATAACAGATTGTCTTAGGCCACTTGTGCTAAAATAATAAAAATACTTGGGGCTGAGTAATTTATATAATAGAAATTAATTTCTCACAGTTTTCAAAGCAGGAAAGTCAGAAACAAGGCACTAGTAGCCTCAGTGTACATTAAGAACTAGTTTCTGCTTCAAGATGGTATCTTCAATTCCTGTAGAGGAGATGAGCAGTATATCCTCATGTCAGAAAGTGGAAGGGCAAAGGATGACTGTAATAAAAACAATAGATTATATGTGTTGGTAAGAACCCTTATATATACTATGCTAGAGGGAATGTCAAATGGTGCAGCAGTTTTGGAAAACAGTTTTGTCATTTCCTCAGTAAGTTAAACATAGAGTTATCCATATGATGCAGCAATTCCACTCCTAGGTTATATACCCATGAGAGTTGAAATACATGTACACATAGCAGCCTTATTTATAGCAGTACAAATGTGGAAAAACTCAATGTATATCAACTGATAATAGATAAATAGCAGGTGGCATATCCATACAATGGAATATTATTTAGCAATAAAAACAAATGAGGCATGATGTAACAGGCCCATCACAAAGGAGCACATATGGTATTATACTATTCATGTGAAATGTACAGAATAGGTAAATCTATGAAAACAAGTGATAAAGCAGTGGTTGCTTAAGGCTGAGAGAAAGGGGCATATGTATATGGATAGAGATAATGATTAAGGTATGTAGAGTTTCTTGGGGGGGTAAAATTTTTTCTATAGTTGATTATGGAGTGGATGCATACCTCTGAATCTACTAAAGGCCACTGAATTGTGTGCTTTAAATGAATGAATGTATGGTATGTGAATTGTATCTTAACACAGCTATTTTTTCATCTGATCATCCATCATTTTTAAGGTGATTTAAGTTCAGTGAGTAAAGAGCTAAATATAAAATATTATTAGTGTAATTTCACAGCATTTTTATCTTGCATTTTCATATTTGCTGCTATTAAAACTACTTACAAGCCTACTGTGTTAAGGTAGTTATGGGGGTGGCGGTGGTGTCCCAAGATGCAATTGGCTGCATTGGATGCATTCTGCTATCATGTATAACTAATTAGAAGGAATTTTTTTTAAGTCATAAAAAGTTATCACTTGACCCCTCATAACAAATTTCTCCATGTTTTTGAATTTATGTCTACTGTGTTGTAAATTGTAACAGATGTAGGTATTAAACAAACAGAAGGCTGACTTAGAATGCTGAAGTTTTATAGAAATTAAAATTATCAAACATTTTGAGAAAAAGTAAAAAAGGATTGGGAATTTCAAAGATTTTAATAATTTAAGGTTAAAAAGGAAACTTTTTTTAAACTTTATTTCTATGTGGTGCTGAGGATCAAACCCAGTGTCTCGCACGTGTGAGGCAAGTGCTCTACCACTGAGCTATAGCCCCAGCCCCCAAAGGAAACATTTTTAACTCAATGGGATATTCAACACTGCTCCCCCAAAGTGAAAATTTAGCAGATGTGTTACTGGTGACCTGAGGTATTTGAAAACAGTTGAAGTTTATCATGAACATACATCATGCCTTCCCCCAAGGATAATTCTTTCTGTAAATGAAACATGTAAAAGGAACTCTTCCATTCCACATTGTGACTCAAATTCAAATGACTGAAACTTTACAAGAGGAATGCACTCTGTCTCTTCTCTTTCTAATCACACATACTCTTTCTAATCACATAGATCAACCTCAGACTTCACAAGTAAAAATCTTGTGTGACTTTCACATCATTCAACAACCAATACAAATATTTCTAGAACCATCAAATTTTCAGAGTAAACTTTGTACCAGTGAGGTGATGGTATTATTTTCAAAAGATTCTCCTATTCATAATGTATGTTCTTTATTTGCCCATGCATTTATTTTACCAAAAATTATTCAATTTGTTTGCCTGATTACTGCCAAAGTGTCTATTTATAATCTCAGTCCAATCAATCTGAAACACTGTATACTACATAAAATTATTTTGATAAACTGTCAATTTCTGACTCTGTTTTGGACTGACAGTGCCCCAGATTTGCCCCAAGTTGATTTTCCCGATTTTTTAAACGTTTTTAAATAGTTAATGGATCTCTGTTTTACTTATTTATTTATATGTGGTGCTGAGATTCGAACCCAGTGCCTCACACATGCTAGGCAAGCACTCTACCATTAAGCCACAACCCCAGCCCTACTTTTAAAAATAAAAGTAATAAGTTTTCAAAAAAAGAACTTAAATCACCTTAAAAATGATGATCAGATGAAAAAATAGCTGTGTTAAGATACAATGAAATACATGATGAAATGCTTAGAAAGAAAAGTTCATGTTTGGTTAGACAGAAGTATATCAAGCCATTGTTCTGTATTCAACATCACTAATCAGAAATATAGTCACAAATATTAGAATAGTTTAGAATGTAAAGTAGAGAAAGGTATTTAGAATTACCCTTAAGATGAAATCTTACTAGGGATACAGATACAGAACTGCATTTGGAAGTATATTTGATTGACAGAACTAAGATATTACTGGTTTTTTAAAAATATTAGTGTGATGTTATCTAACTGTTGTTTTATTAGATTTTATAGACAGAATCATTGTTTCCTGTCCCTCATGTAAAAATCTATCAGTTAAAAATTGATTCACAGAGTATGAGGAAGAAGCAAGTTACATGTGAACTCACAGAATTTACTTAAATTATTTACTTCCTCTACCCAAGTAAGAAAGCTGCAATGCAGGTATTTAATCTAATGGTTTTGTTAAAAATTGGGACTATCATAAGTAGCTGAAAGATGAAGATTGTTGATATAACAAAATCTTTATATTGCCCCCAATGGGATAATATTATTTGAGCAAGGATTTCCACATTTTAATAAAGAGAATAACTTTTCTCAAATCTTAACATTTACAGGAAAAATATATAAAACAAAGCATTCTATTAAATACATATCAATTGTTAACTAAGATGATGATGGAAATTTAAATGGGAAAATATAATATCTTTGATAGTGTTATAGACTGAAGTTTTAAGTTAAAATTGGATCAAATGGAAGAGCTTTATTTTTTCTCCATATGATCCTAAATAACAATTTTAATTATTTTTTTCACTGAGTTGTGAAATTATATGGCTGTAGTATAATACAGATGAGACATAGAAATTTATACTATTTGAGTCTAGAAAGTTTTTCATTAATGTTACTGATGTTTTAAAGATAACTTCAGTTAGAATAATAGGTTGAAATGTGAGCTTTTCAAAATAAGACAAAATTGCTAATGTTTGGGTGTTATTTTATTGCCTTTGACTTTTCTAGCTCCAATGAAAGGATTCCAGTTGGATTTTTTTTCTATTCCTTTGATTTTTTGAAAAGCTTTAAGCCAGAAGCAAATTTGGGTTATTTTTGAGACCAGATGGGGAGGAAAATGAAAGGGGAGTTTCTAACAGTTTCTTGTAGAGGGAATTTGGAGAAACTTAAAGTGTGAGAGAAGTTTTTAAGAGAAGAAAGGAATTTTTCTGCTATTGTTTAAGAAATGAAATTGAAGAACTTAGGTTGCTTTGAAATTAGTTTTCAACTGCCATCAGTTTCCTTTGATCATAGTAAAATTTGAGATGAGACAGTGTGGCTCAAATATTTAATACAGTTGGGAATTGTCTAACGTTTTATATCAGTGATTTTCATGGAAGCTGGAGGAGGGAGAACAATTTTATCTGGAAGAGGAAGGTATTGCCGTAAAGTAGCTTTCATTGTTGTTACTTTTAATTATTGTTGATTAAAGTTTGATATTTTGTCCTGTTAAAGAACAAATTATTAGCTGATTTATGTATGACCTACCATATTTTTATATTATTATCAATTCCTTTTTTCCCCTTTGGGGGCATTGAATATTATATTAGCTTGGGGGAAAGAGAATGTGGGAAGAAATGGAGTAGAATTTGATTCCATATGTCTTCTTATACATGAAATAAACTCGGCGAATCTGAATTTTCTTTTTTTGTCCTGTCATCAGTCTTGTCCTGCTCTGTACTATCAGCCAAAGTGGTGATAATTTCTTTAAGTACAGAGACAGTCTTTAAAGTCTGCAATTTCCAGATGTTGGATCAGTTCTTCAAGATTTTAGTGATGTCAGTGAACATGGCAATCATCTTTTTGTGTTTTCTTTTGAACCTATCTATACATAAATTTATCAGGATACCACAGGGAAAAGATTCCTAGAGTAATACTTGACAACAGAGTAAGTTGTAAGTGAATAGTCTTCAATATTATTTGTTATATAGTAGAACAAATTACATGCTAGTAGAACTGTTACATGCTATTTTTATATAATATCTCCACAATGAAAAGGAGGAACAATTTGTATAGTTTGTTATTGCTACTTCATACAGTTTTATAAAAATATTTCATTTATTTGACTGGAACCCTTCATTATCAACATCTCTATGAAATCATGTAGCTGAAACACCCAATACTGCATGAGGGCAGAATTGATCATGTAGGGAAATGGTCTCTTGGGACTTTTCAGAAGAAACCTAATCATTTAAGAGTAATGTTTCATATATTATAAAGATGAATCATCAATGTTTTTGTTTTTACTCTATGAAGCAGAAATTGAGCAACTAAATTGAAATTGTAGACATGATGAGAATTAAGTCATTTCTGCTTTTTATTCATAATACAACCTTGAAAACATCCTTTATGATCATTATCATTCAAATTATTTAATGAACAAAATGAAATCCCAGATTTAGTAATTAGAGAATTATTTTCAGAAATATGTACAGACTTCATAGCTAGAAAAATCCACTAATTGGATTCTATGCATTTTTTTGGCAGGTAACAAATCACAAGACAGTGGCATAGCAGAGATGGAAGAGCTTCCTGTACCACATAACATCAAAATAAGCAATATCACATGTGACTCATTCAAGATTTCATGGGAAATGGATTCAAAATCCAAAGACCGAATTACACACTATTTCATTGACCTCAACAAGAAAGAGAACAAGAACTCTAATAAATTTAAACACAAGGTAAAAATCTAACAAGTACTTATTTATCTTAAATGCTTTCTAAGTATGAGGACACTTTAAAAGAAGAATAATGTTCTATTAGTAACATATGATACACTCAGCATTGGGAAGAATAAAAATTGTATGTGATTTAAAAACCCTGTACCTCTAATATATTTTGGAAGAAAATGAAATGCTCTGATTATTGTTAAATGAATGCAAATACCATATGACCTAAATATTCTACTCTTTGATATTTATCCAAAAGAACTGAAATCAGCATATTATGATGATATGGACATTACATCATTTCAGTGTTTATAGCAGCACAGTTCACACATTATGGAACCACCTAGGAGTCAGCCAACAGATGAATGGATAAAGAAAAAAATAATGTGTGTATACACATACACATTATGTGTGTGTGTATGTATGTCTCTATACACACATTTTATACACACACACACACACACACACACACATACACAATGGAATTCTACTTAGTCCCAGAGAATGAATTGATGTCATATACTGATAAAGGTTGGAACTGGAGAATATCATGCTAAGTGAAATAACCCAGAGGCAGAAAGTCAAGGGTGAAGTGTTTTTTCTCATATGTGGAAGCTAGACCAAAATAAGGGGGAAAAAATTAAAAGGTGAGTGAGGGATTTCCTTGAAAACAATAGATAGATCAGTGGAGTAAAGGAAGGAGTTTGAGGGGATGGGAAGAGAGATAAGAAAAGGGTGAAATTAATCTGAACAAACTTTCCTGTGTACATATATGAATATACCACAGAGAATTTCACCTTTGTGTAAAGTATTTTTAAATAGGTAAATTCTTTTGTTAGCTAGGAATTTAAGTTTCTCTTCTCTCTGTTGTTTATAAGTGACTAAAGTTACACTTGAATGCCCTTCCCTCCCTCCCACCTTTCTTATTTCCTTCCTTTTTATCCCTTCCCTTCCTTTCCTTCTTTTTTGTTCCTATTCTTCCTTTTTTCATTTTTAGGATGTTCCAACAAAATTGGTGGCAAAAGCTGTTCCCTTGCCAATGACTGTCCGTGGACACTGGTTTCTGAGCCCAAGAACTGAATATACGGTAGCAGTGCAGACTGCCTCAAAACAAGTTGATGGTGATTATGTTGTATCTGAATGGAGTGAAATTATAGAATTCTGCACAGCAGGTAAGAAAACTAGATACAAATACAAGAAAAACAAAATGTTACTTGTTTCCAGAAAGGTAATTACCAAAAAGTATTTCTTTTTTGTAACTATAAAGTGAATAGGTATTGCATAGGTTAGTTTTTCATTGTCAGTAGCATTGTGTAACAGAATGAACAATATTGTATTGATTGGAGGGAACTGAGGTTCTCAGTTCTCAAACTTGAGTGATGTCATCAAATCACTTTTTTGCTGCATATATAGTTTGATATTATTTGCAATGAAAGCTTTATAAATAAAAATACATGCAGTTTGATAATATACTCATATTTTGAACTTCATATTCTTCTTTTTATTCTTTGATTTTCACAGATATTGAAGGAAGGAAGACAGAAATATACTTCTCTAATATAGGGGAATAGAGGCAGGTCTCAATAACTATGCCTAATAGAAATGTTGGATTTTTCACTTGAGTAGTGGAAGAGCTTAAGGAAAAGATAGCTTTAAACTAGTGTCCTGTTTGTGTGTCTTTTCTTTATTAAAAAGTACCTTAATAGCCATTTGGCATAAAGAAATCTGATGTAAGGAAACTGCTTTACTGGGGAGGTTTAATCTAAGACAAAAAGGCACAATCTCTTTTTCCATTGTGTCACACAATTTGAGTATCCCTGATCTGAAAATTTGAAATCTGGAACATTTTTAACACTGATGTTTTTGAATTTTTGAGCATTTTAGGCTTGGGGAGTGGGAATGCTCAATCAGTTAAAGTATATGCAAATATTCCAAAATCCAGAAAACTCTGAAATTTGAAATACTCTGGTGTCAAGCATTTTGGATAAGGGATATTCAACCTATAATGCCTGCAGTTTTCTCTATGACAAATGAAACAATATCAGGTATTTGTCACTAAAAGGAGCTAAAATTTATTTGCCAAAATCCCATATGACATTAGAGAAAGGTTTGAAATATTGTTTCTTTTTTAGTTTCAGGAAGATCCTTCCAGTTCACAAATAGCACACATACACACACATGCATACAAATGCACACACATGCACATGTATTCATTCTGTTCAACTATATAAGTGCATGTTGTTATTTCTGTATGTATGCAGGAAAATTCTTTTTTTATTTTGTTTTCATTTAGAGTGGAATCTCCCTGTAGTTCATTATGTACATCGCATAATTCTCCTAAAAATTATAGAGAAACTGCCTGCTTTTAAGTGAACTACAACAATTTCTATACATTATTTTGCCTTTTTATTTTTGTAAGTCAAATCTAAGAGGAACTTAAGCTGTTCAGAGCTATAGTTTGAGTTTATCAGTTTATTTGGGGACTGTTTCTTATAAACTTTATAACTTGGTCTCTTACATTTTAAGAAAGCTATTGTGAATAATTGTCATTTAATCTTGACATTAATTCACATATCATTTATTGAGCCCATACTGTGAGCTAGGCACTTTACAAGGTATTGGAAATACAATATGATACAATCATATAAAATAGAATACCACAGACTAATCTACTTCTAGTATGTAACAGAGATAAAACAATACTCACTATAATAATGCCATTATTGACTATTTAGATAATATTTATCTCCTATGGATCATTAGTTCTTTGAAGGGAAAAATATATTTTTATCTTTTAATCTGATTGTCTAATTTTGCATAGTGCTTTGTATATAGTACATTTTAATATAAATAAATGCTGGTTGATCTGGTACAGAGTAAGTAAACAAATTCTGCCATGAGCACTTTAACTAGGTTGGTCTGTTTAGAAACTCTAAGTAACCTTTATAGACCAAAAGTTTCCTTAGTTTTTGTTGCAGGTGTTTGAAGTAATTCTCAATTTTCAAAACAAAAAGTTTATTAAGAAGTATCAAATAATTTTAAGAGTTGTACTAGTCTTTTGTACTCAAAGACATCTATGAGCCAGAAATGGAGTCTCAAAGTTACTGGCTATATGAACACTGAGCAAAAACATTTAACTTTGATGAGCTTCAATTTTTACATCATTAAAACAGCCATATTTAATCTATCTTATGAACCTCAGAGGTTTAGAAAATAAATTAAGCATTATTTCTACTCTCCAACTTTGCTGATTGCTTGCAGATTATAAATTTCTTTCATTCAGTTTATCAATTGATTGTAGACAAGTTGCTATAGTGCTGATGGACATTAATTGGGTTATGAAGACTTATATTGAACATACGTTTGTTTCAGGATATTCAATTTCAAAGAGCAAAAAAGTACAAGGATATTCTAAGAAACAACATAAACCATAACAAGGGGCTAGAGATGTAGCTCAGTGGTAGAGCACTTGTTTAAAGAAAAATGTGCCACACAAGGACAGTGAATGTATGTTTGTTTTTTATAAATTGCAATTACTGTTTATTTAGTTGAATTCTCTACAGGTAATTATTAATAATCTCTAATTTATTAAGTATGTAGCTGGTACTTTTGGTGCTATATTTTAAATAAAAAGATTTTTTTTAAATTACAGACTATTCAAAAGTTCATCTAACACAACTGTTGGAGAAGGCTGAAGTGATTGCAGGACGTATGCTTAAATTTTCTGTTTTTTATCGTAACCAGCACAAAGAATATTTTGACTATGTTCGGTAAGAATAAAAAAAATTGGTGTTTTTTTTTAACTAAAAATGATTCAAATTCTAGGCTCATGTTTCCCATTACTCTAGTTTTATAAAATTGGAATTCCAGATTTCTTTTTTAAATAGTTAATTATACTGACTTTTATTTCTTAGAAAAATTAAATGAAAAAAATCATCTGATGATTTTCCCCCCACATCACTTAGATTGCTTTCCATGATCACATAACAATTCTGGTCTATTTGACTGGAATGTCTGAAATCTGGTATTTAGATTGATGAGTATTTATTATACATATTCCTGCAAATCCCACTAACTCAAATGTCCTCTGCTTGACCAAATGTTCTTCTCTTTTTGTGGATCTCTTTAAGACATTGAAATGAGAGGATAAGAAAAAAGACTATGTCATGAATTATTATGATAATTCAGGTGGGATTTTCAGACTTTCTCCAGAGTGGAAAGCTCTTAATCATTAGTGCAAATTAATTATTCATGAGAACAATCTCTTTTGTTTACTTTTGAATTGTAGTGATTTCAACTGGATTTTTAAAGATCACCTATTTCAATCCCTTGAAGCAATTCTCAAGAAGTTAATAGAACTCTATCCCATAGGTAGTTTAATACTTGCAACATTTTCATATTTGTAGAAGACAATTTCAAGAGCATAAACAGGCAGATATATGTTTTAAAGTGAGATTAAGGATTTCAAAATGACAAGTGCTATTTTGGTTCTATAACTTTTATACAGAAATCACTATAATTTTGTCATTTTTAAAAGCCCTGGTCTCGCTTTAGACTTCAAAGGATTCTTAAGTTGACAGGACTATATATGAAAAAAATTTAGGAAGCTTTGGCATTCTTTCTGTTTTCTTTATATTTCTGTTTCTCTTAAATCAAGATCATGGTACTAGGTTTATATTCCTGAAGTATTGTTGATGTCAATTTTAGATGGCCACTGGAGGTCAGTGTTTCTCTACAATTTTATTTGTCCTTCGGATGGGAACTGGCCTTCCATACTTGCTTCATCTGTTTTCAAAAATTCTCCCAAGAAGTAAAAGGAATAAATAGCATATGGAAAATGCATAAAGTTGATGTACACATGGCATGATATGATTCCAAATTGTAACATGAAAGATGTGTTTATTACGAAGAAAATTTGCCTTTGATGGATTTCCTGTAATGATAGTAGTAAAATCCATGTAAATTATATTTTCAAGCAGTACATATAAATAAGTATACTTTGTGAAGGAATTGATAGAATCTTTCAACATTGTTTCTTAATGATGGTTTATTAAAAAGCCTTTATCTCGGCAGATCTTGGTATTCGTCTTATGCTATGAATTTTAGTTAGGACACATTTTCTTAGAGTCCATTTAAAATGTCATGATCTTATTCAGATGCTTAAATATGAAGGAACCTTTCAATTACCTGATAAACTTTCCAAATCATTATTTTTTGGGAAAAAACCTAGATAAAGTCTGATTTAAACTATAAGGAATGAACTCATTTTTGATCTCTTGAAAAGAATTTCAAAGTGAATTTTGTTTTCCCTTACTTTAAATGAAAAATAAGACTTTACCTCTTACTGCTTTTCATTTTCAATAGAGAACTTAATTGTCCTTAAATTCCTTACTGTATCTGAAATTTTATCTTCAAGAATTCAATAAGATCAGTAGGTATGTTTAGGAATTCTTATATTTTTGGTGTCAGATTTCGGGTAACCTTAAAGTTGAGGCTCTGCCATTAATAGTAGGTCTCATTCCCTAACTTGAATTCCTATTTATATATTTTCTGCTGTTATTATTTCATATAGTTGTGCTTGTGGCTCTTTATGAAGGGCATATGAATTTTATTAATGAAAATGAAACAAAGGTAACAAATTTTGATCAGGGGCAAAATTAAAAAGACACACATTTCCATATTCTTTTTACTAAGTACAACTAAAAATTTTTGGCATTATATATAAAAGAAATATTAAATTTTGCAAAGTAAAAAGAAGAAGGTAGACCAACCAGGTATTCTGGAACTGGAGAAACAACACAGGGATGAGTTAACTAGGTTTCTTTTACTTTTTTTTTTTTTTTTTTTGGTCACGTGTAAAATCAAGTTTTTAATTCACTTTCACTTGTTAATTCTATGATGCTTTTTATGTAGATGTGTTTCTTTTTTTATTTGTTCTAATTAGTTATACATGACAGTAGAATGTATTTCAACACATCATGCGTAAATGGAGCATAATTTTTCATTCTTCTGGTTGTGTATGAGGTAGAATTATACTGGTCATGTAATCATATATGTACATAGGATAATAATGTCCAATTCATTCTGCTACCCTTCCTTCCCCCATACCCACTCACCTCCCTTCACTCCCCTCTGTCTAATCCAAAGTACTTCTATCCACCCACCCCCTTACTGTGAATTAGCATTCGCATATCAGAAAACATTGGACCTTTGGTTCATTGGGAATGGCTTGTTTTGCTGAGCATGATATTCTCTAGCTCCATCCACTAACAGACAAATGGATAGCGCTGCAGAATTTCATTCTTCTCTAAGGCTGAGTAATATTCCATTGTGAATATATACCTCTTTTGTCTAATATGGGATAACTTTTATTTATGTGGATTTATTGATCTACATGTCTGTTTTGGTGCCAATACTATGCTGTTTTTGCTACTATGGCTCTGTAGTATAATTTAAGTCTGGAATGTATACCACATTTTCTTTACCCCTTTATCAGTTGAAGGGCACCTAGGTTGGTTCATAGTTTAGCTATTGTGAATTGAGCTGCTATAAACATTGATGTGGCTGTGTCACTGTAGTATGCTGATTTTAAGTCCTTTGGGTATAAACAGAGCTGGGGGTGGGGGCTGGGATTGTGGCTCAGTGGTAGAGGGCTCACCTTGCACGTGTGAGACCCTGGGTTCCATCCTCAGCACCACATAAAAATAAATAAGTGAAATAAAGGTATTGTGTCCAACTACAACTAAAAAAGAAATATTTTAAAAAAACAGCAGGGGGATAACTGGGTCAAATGGTGGTTCCATTTCAAGTTTTCTGAGAAATCTTCATACTGCTTTACACAGTGGCTATACCAATTTGCAGTCCCAACAGAAATGTATGAGTGTACCTTTTTCCCTACATCCTTGCCAACATTTATTGTTGCTTGTATACTTGGCAGTTGCCATTCTGACTAGAGTGAAATGAAATCTCAGTGTAGTTTTGATTTGCATTTCTTTAACTGCTAGAAATGTTGAACATTTTTTCATATATTTGTTGATCGATTGTATTTCTTCTTCTGGGAAGTATCTTTTTAGTTCCTTAGCCAATTTATTGATTGGGTTATTTGTTTTTTTGGTGTTAAGTTTTTTGAATTCTTTATATATCCTGAAGATTAGTGCTGTATCTGAGGTACATGTAGTAAAGTTTTTTCTCCCATTCTTTAGTTCCTCTCTTCATGTTCTTGATTGTTTCCTTTGCTGTGAAGAAGCTTTTTAATTTGAATCCATCCCATTTATTGATTCTTGATTTTACTTCTTGTGCTTCGGGAATCTTGTTAAGGAAGTCAGTTCCCAAGCTGACATGGTAAAGATTTGGGCCCACTTTTTCTTCTATTAGGCACAAGGTTCTCTGTTGTAGTGCCTAGGTCTGTGATCTACTTAGAGTTGAGTTTTGTGCAGGGTGAGAGATAGGGATCTAATTTCATTTTGCTGGATTTCCAGTTTTCCCAGAACCATTCATTGAAGAAGCTATCTTTTCTCAATGTATGTTTTTGGCTCCTTTGTCTAATATGAGATAACTGTATTTATGTGGATTTGTCTCTATGTCTTCTATTCTGTACCATTTGTCTACATGTCTGTTTTGGTGCTAATACCATGCCATTTTTGCTACTATGGCTTTATAGTTTAATTTAAGTCTGGCATTGTGATGCCTACTGCTTCATTTTTCTTACTAAGAATTGCTTTGTCTATCCTGGGTCTCTTATTTTTCCAAATGAATTTCATGATTGTTTTTTCTATTTCTATTTCTATGAAGAATGTCTTTGGGATTTTAATAGGAATTGCATTAAATCTGTATAGCATTCTTGGTAGTATGACCATTTTCACAATGTTAATTTTGCCCATCCAAGACTGTGGAGATCTTTCTGTCTTTTCTTCAGTTTTTTTTTTTTTTTTAAGTATCTTTCACCTCTTTTGTTAGATTGATTCCCAATTATTTTATTTTTTTAGACTATTATGAATGGGGTAGATTTTCTAATTTATCTTTTAGTGGATTTATCACTTATGTATAGGAATGCATTTTATTTATGGGTGTTAATTTTTTTTTTTTTTGGTTCTGAGGGTTGAACTCATTGGCACTTGACCACTGAGCCACATCTTCAGCTCTATTTTTTATTTTATTTAGAGACATGGTCTCACTGAGTTGCTTACTTTTGCTTACCTCACTTTTGCTGAGGCTGGCTTTGAACTCTTGATCCTCCTGCCTCAGCCTCCCAAGCTGACGAAATTACAAGTGTGCACCATCATGCCCAGATATGGGTGTTAATTTTATATCCAGCTCCTTTGCTGAATTCATTCATTAGTTTTAGAAGTTTTCTGGTGAAAATTTTTGAGTCTTCTAAATATAGAATCATGTTGTGGGCAAAGAGTGATAGTTTGAATTCTTCTTTTTCTGTTTGTATCTCTTTAATTTCTTTCTTCTAATTGCTCTGGCTAGAGTTTTAAGGATAATGATGAAAAAAGTGGTGAAAGAGGGCATCCTTGTCTTGTTCTAGTTCTTAGAGGGAATGCTTTCAATTTTTCACCATTTAGAATGATGTTGGCCTTGGGTTTAGCATATGTGACTTTTACAATAGATTTTCTCGTGTTTAGATCATGAAGCACTGCTACATTTTGTCAAATAGTTTTTCTCTATCTGTTGAGATGATCATATGGCTCTTGTTTTAAGTCTATTGATGTTATGAATTATGTTTATTGATTTCCATGTGTTGAACAAACCTTTCATCTTTGGGATG